CCCCAAAACCCCAAAACCCCAAAACCCCAAAACCCCAAAACCCCTCAAAGAGTGAACCTAGTTGAAAAATATTCAAAATCTGGTTTGAGTCTTGAAATTGGTGGATTTAGTTATTAGGAATTGTCCCATATGATCTTTTATTACCCTCCTGGTTTTCTTCATCTGTAGAACTCTCGTCACCATTCTCAGCCCGAAGTCTCTCGATTTCGAGTGGATGTAGTTCATGCTCTTTTAGGTTACGCTCTTCTTCTCTTCATTGACTAAATGATTATTAATACCATGAATATTAAGAATGATCTATTGGTAGATCATACCTGTCTTTGACTTACTTTACGTGTCTGGCTATTGCCATTCAGTATGCAAACGGAGCGACTATAAGGGTTCCTCCTGATGCCATTAGAGCCACTACTCCGATGATTCACAAAATTATCCCGATCGCAGTAAGCACCGCCAATCACTCGTTCCTTCGTTCATGAGTGTGGCTTGTATCTTTGGCCTTCAACTTTTTGTAGACCCACATGCCAACATAAACTGGGATGATGAACACCAAAAATACGTAGACTAAAATATGTCCCAGAGGGCTCAGATGTTTGAACTTGTTAGGTTCGAGTTTGGTGTGACAGCGTTGGCACTCTATCACGCTCTGGTCTTGGTACATCCAAACTTGGATGATATCTCTGCAGTTGGGACATCTTCTAGTAAATTGATCATTCCAGATCCTCCAGAAAGTGTTAGCCTTATTTACAAGGGCCTGTATGCTTAGGCTTGTTACATAAGATTCAAAACTCATGACCATTGTTGCACTTAGCAGATTTAGAACTGTTGGTGATGTTGGATCTGACATCAGTAACTTCTCTTCACATCGGTCAGAACTGTTTATTTGTGATCTTTGTGTACATTCACTTCGTATTTGACCTTTGAAATATTGTCTTTTCAGTCATCACTAAGGTATGTCTGTTTGTCACTCCATGTCTCTGATGCATCACACTTTGGTCAATTAGGACTGAACCTGAGGTTGAGCCTGGTCTTCAAATGCGAGGCCAATCAACATTTTCAAATTTGGTGTCCTCATTTAAGTTTAACAGGATCTCAAAGTGGATTATGGCAGTAAACTCATCCATACTTGTTAAGAGGTTCCTTCGAGTGGCCAGCAAGTGATGCAGAATCTTCTTTGTGTACTTCATGCGTTTCTTCAAGGTTATCATCTATGTTTCCAATGCATTGATTATCACTCATGATAATTTTTAGAGACTATAATATTAAAAATACCAATTTTAATTAGTTGACGAGGGGTTTTGGGGTTTTGGGGTTTTGGGGG